AAAAAAAAAAAAAATCTGTCAGTTAACGAATAGCTAGCGTTATTTCAAATCTAATTTTCCTTTAAGCAGGTTTTCCTCACATTTGCATTTTGTTTTAGTAATAGCTCATGACTTGAATTTAATGAAGGAAAACAGAATGAAAGAGTTGGTAGAGTTTTGATCCAAAAGTTCATTGTCTGGGACCTTTATGGTTTGGAGCATATCATGTAAATTTTTAGGCCTTCATTTCCTAATATGTCCAATAAAGGAGTTGAATTATATGCTGTCTATGAAGAGCTAAATTGCCTCTTACTCAGTTCTGGTATTAGTATAAAATATTTTTGAAAAAGAACAAGGCTGGATGCAGCTCATACCAGCATTCCTAGCACTCTAGGAGGCCAAGGCAGGTAGATTGCTGGAGCACAGGAATTCCAGTCCAGGCCTGAACAAAAGTGAGGCACTGTCTCTACTAAAAACAGAAAAATTAGTCAGGCATTGTGTTGGGCACCTGTATTCCCAGCTACTCAAGAGGCTGAGGCAAGAGGATCTCTTGAGCCCAAGAGACTGAGGTTGCTGTGAACTATGATGATGCCAGGGCACTCTACCCAAAGTGATAGAGTGACACTCTGTCTCAATAAAACAGATAACAACAAAAAAGGCAAATAAATAACAAATCTGATTTATCTTGTACTATTTGGAAAACAGAATTATATTAGCAAGATTAGTTTGAAATAACTGTGCATGCTTTCTGTTTTTCTGTAGATGGACCACACATCTCCAACCTACATGCTTGCTAACTTAGCCCACTTACATTCTGAACAACTTCTGCAGGGCTTGAATCTTCTTCGCCAGCATCACGAACTCTGTGACATCATTCTTCGAGTAGGTGATGTTAAAATTCATGCTCACAAAGTGGTACTTGCCAGCATCAGCCCGTATTTCAAAGCAATGTTCACTGGAAACCTTTCTGAGAAAGAGAACAGTGAAGTTGAGTTTCAGTGCATTGATGAGACTGCTCTCCAGGCTATTGTGGAGTATGCCTATACGGGGACTGTTTTTATTTCTCAGGACACAGTTGAATCCCTCCTGCCAGCAGCAAACCTTCTGCAGATAAAACTCGTCCTGAAAGAATGTTGTGCATTTCTTGAAAGCCAGCTCGATCCTGGTAACTGTATTGGAATTTCTCGTTTTGCAGAAACATATGGTTGTCACGACCTTTATCTGGCAGCCACTAAATACATATGCCAGAATTTTGAAGCTGTTTGCCAGACTGAAGAGTTTTTTGAGCTTACACATGCTGATTTGGATGAAATTGTTTCTAATGACTGTTTGAATGTAGCTACTGAAGAGACAGTTTTTTATGCATTAGAGTCGTGGATCAAGTATGATGTACAGGAACGCCAGAAATACTTAGCACAGCTACTGAACAGTGTACGATTACCACTGCTGAGTGTTAAGTTCCTCACTAGACTGTATGAAGCAAATCATCTCATTCGTGATGATCGCACTTGCAAACATCTTTTGAATGAAGCCCTGAAGTACCACTTTATGCCTGAACATAGACTGTCTCATCAGACAGTCCTGATGACACGACCTCGCTGTGCTCCCAAAGTACTTTGTGCAGTAGGAGGGAAATCTGGACTCTTTGCCTGTCTGGATAGGTAAATAGGAGGCTTCCTTAAAGAAGTGATGCTAATAGATTTTATACTTTTTAAATTGCAAATTTTCTATATTTTAAAAATAGTTTTCTTTTCCTTCTTACTTTCTTTGTTTGCTCTTTTTATTTTTCTCTCTTCTTCAAATACGTATGCAGTTTTTTAAATCACATTGTCCTCCATTCTCTACAATACTCACACTTAGGATTGTTCCCCTAAGCATGCACCCTTTTTCTAGCCTGGTTTCTCACTAACTTTTCTTTCGTTTTCTGTCTTCCTTTTTTTCTTTCTCGAACCATTTATATCTTCATTCTAGTAGATGAGGTCAGAGGAGATTTATTGTTGTTAACTGTACCAGGATATATTAAAGAAGAGGACTAGGAACCCTTGGGGAGGGCACACTAGCGAGAGGAATGGGTTGGAATGAAACCAGTTAATTAGAGGTACCACCAAGGAAATGAGAAAAAATAGGACACTGATATGTGGCATAAATCATGGATTTCATGTGCAGTTTATTTCCTTCGGTGTATTTATTAAACACAGTAGTAAAAAATACTTCCTTTTCTGGGCCAAGCTCAGTGGCTCATGGCTGTATATCCTAGCACTCTGGGAGGCTGAAGTGGTTGGATTGCCTAAGCAGGGGTCCTCAAACTTTTTAAACAGGGGGCCAGTTCACTGTCCCTCAGAACGTTGGAGGGCCGGATTGCAGGCCCCAGGATGAGTCGGCTGCTAAGCAGGACAGGCAGCGGTAGCAAAAACACCCGGCCAGATAAATGTCCTTGGTGGGCCGCATGTGGCCCATGGGCCATAGTTTGAGGCCCCCTGGAAAGCCTGGGAGTTTGAGACCCTGTCTCTAAAAAATAGCTGGATGTTGTGGCAGGCGCCTATTGTCCCAGCCACTTGGGAGGCTGAGGCAAGAGAAGCACTTCTGCCCAAGAGTTTGAGGTTGCTGTGAGCTATGATGCTAGGACACTCTACCAAAGGCAATTAAAGTGAGACTCTGTCTAAAAAAATAAAAAAAATGAACAAAAAACACAGAAAAACTTCCTCTTCTAATAACTTAAACTACGAGTTGTCATATATTTTCTATAAAGAGCCAAGTAGTAAATATTTTAATCTTTGTGAGCCATGTGATCTTTGTCGCAGGTACTCAACTTTTCTATTTTTAGTAGAGATGGAGTCTTGCTTTTACTCAGACTGGTCTTGAACTCGTGGCATCAAGCAATCTTCCTGCCTAGGGCTTCCCAGAATGCTAGAATTAGGGGTATGAGCCACTGGATGTGGTGGTACACACCTGTAGTCCCAGCTACTTGGGAGGCTGAGACAGGAGGATTGCCTGAGTCCAGGAGTTCTGGGCTGTAGTGCGCTATGCCGATCGGGTGTCTGCACTAAGTTCAGCATCAATATGGTGACTTCCCGGGAGTGGGGGGCTACCAGGTTACCTAAGGAGGAGTGAACTGGCCCAGGTTGGAAACGGAGCAGGTCAAAACTCCTGTGCTGATCAGTAGAGAGATCACGCCTGTGAATAGCCACTGCACTCCATCCTGGGCAACATAGTGAGACCCGGTCTCTTTCAAAAAAAAAAAAAAGATTATAGGTGTGAGCCACCATGCCTGACTTTAATTATAATCTAAATTGTTTATTGCTGAGATTGTGCTACTTACGGTAGCTTATTGTTATGCCATGGTAGTGTAAGAGCAGCTGTAGATGATACATAAATGAATGAGGGCAGATGTGTTCCAAAAACCTCATTTACCCGAAAAAAAAAAAAAACTCAAAATAGAAGGGTGGCACCTGTGGCTCAAAGGAGTGGGGCGCTGGCCCCATATACTGGAGGTGGCGGGTTTAAAAACCTTATTTACCCAGGTAGCTGGTGAGCTGAATTTGACCCAAGGCCATAGTTGGCCAATCCTTGACAGAGAGAGTCATCTAAGTAACTTTTATACGTTGAAAATATAGCTTGATGTTATCTTTGTTTTTTTCCTTGGCTAGGATTGCTTCACAGAAACTTTTGTGTTTGATGTATTTCTTTAATACTATGGATTTCTCTTTTTCTCATTTCTAAAAATTTGGTGATTCCTTCTCCAGTGTAGGGAACTATTGACAGTTCATCACTGGCAACACATATATCCTGCATCTTTTAAAAAGTATCACTACACATTTTAATTGTAGTACTTTTTTTTCTTGTTTTAAATTGAGATAGGATCTTGATCTGTTGCCCAAGCTAGAGTGAAACAGCATCATTGTAGCTCGTTGAAACCTTAAACTCCTGAGCTCAAGTGATCTTCCCACCTCAGCCTCCTGAGTAACTAAGACTATAAGTATATGCCACTATGTCAGGCCAACTTTTGTATTTTTTGTAAAGACAGGGTCTTGCTCCTACTCAGGCTGGTCTTGAACTCCTGACATCAAGCAATCATCTTCCCTAATGCCTCCCCAAGTGCTAGGGTTACAGGTGTGAGCCACCATGCCTGACCTTAAATATACTCTTAGTTATTTATTGCTGAGATTGTGCTGTGAGTAGAGAATTAGTTATGGTAGGTATACAAAGTGATTGCTTAACTTGTATTCTTTTTTTTTTTT